TTTTCCCTGCTGTCATGGTCAGATCACGTCCTGGTGACCCTGAGTTTCTCCTATGCCATCCCCCTCCGCAGGGAGGCAGGACCCATGCGATTGGTCCGCCCTCGGCACCTGATGGACCCATCAGGGTTCCAGAGGGAGCTGGGGGGTATTCCCGTAAATCTGCTGCACAGTCCAGCGGAGGTCTTGGCTGCTGCTTGGAATAGGGAGGCAGCTGGGGCCTTGGACAGGATCGCACCTATGCGACCTCTCTTGCCACATTGGCCCCAACACTCCCCATGGTTCACGGAGGAGTTGAGGGTGCTGAAGAGGGCCAAGAGATGTCTAGAGCACCACTGGAGGAAGACACAGACTGAATCCGACCGAAAACATGTTAGAGCCGCTATTGTGGCAATAAGAGTGGCAAAGCGCCAATACTTCTCCGCCCTTATCGCATCCGCAGAGTGCCGCCCAGCAGTCCTGTTTGGGATCACTGGATCCCTCCTTGGTAAGGGGGATCTGGAGATTCATTTCCAGGGCCACATGGAGGAATTTTCAGAGCACCTGCAGGATTAAATCGCTCGGATTCGTTCCAAGTTAGACTCCGAGCGTGGCGCAAGGTCTGGGGAAATACCAGGGGATCGTTCTTGCCCAGTTATCTGGGAACGGTTTGATCCTGTTGCTCCTGAGGAAGTGGACAGGATCCTCCAGACTGTGAGGGCCACCACTTGTCATCTGGACCCATGCCCCTCCTGGCTGGTGAAAGCAGCTCGGCAGGTAACATGCAGTTGGATCCAGGCAATAGTTAATACATCCATGCAGGAGGGAGTGTTTCCAGCGCCCTTTAAAGAGGCATTGGTGCACCCCCTCCTCAGGAAGCCCTCCCTGGATCCTACCATACTGGACAATTTCCGTCCAGTCTCCCACCTCCCCCTTTTTGGGAAGGTGGTTGAGAAAGTGGTAGCATCACAGCTCCAAAGGGTTCTGAAGGAAATGGATTATCTGGACCTTTATCAGTCAGGTTTCAGGCCAGGTTACGGAATGAAAACGGCATTGGCCGTACTTATGGATGATCTCTGGCGGGAGCGGGATAGTGGAAGGAAGGAGATCCTTGCTCTCCTTGATCTCTCTGTGGCTTTCAATTATACATCTCCACCCCAGGTGAGGTAAGTGATGCTGTGACCGCCCTTTCGCGGTGCCTGGAGGTAGTTAGGTTCTGGATGGGGAACAA